TCGGTGCGACCAGTGCGATCGGTACGAACGGTGCGACCAGTGCGATCGGTGCGAACGGTACGAACGGAGCGACCAGTGCGAACGGTACGAACGGTGCGACCAGTGCGATCGGTGCGAACGGTGCGAACGGTACGAACAGTGCGCAACTAAATCACAAGTGAAGCTAGATAACTATTTTAATCAGCAAATTCATAACCGAACACGAATTACAACAAAAAAAAACTAAAATAGCGCACAGAACAATGTTAACGTCCGGAACAACGGGAACAAACGAACCGACCACTACGTATTAACTAACGACGCGAGGTGTCTGATGATAGACGCTACTTCGCGGGTTGCGAGCGAGATGGTGAACGAGGACAACGTGTAGACTGGTGGGCCACGCTACGACGATGGATTGCAGGACAACCCGGAAAATCACAGGCATGACGGAACCGACACCGGAGGAATTGCGATGAGCACCGACCAGCGTTCCAAGAGTGACAAATAATGGACGACGACGGGGTACCGGACGCTTCAAGGGAGCTGGAGGACGAGGAAAACGAAGTAGATACCCGCGAAGCAGGAGTAGAAGAAAACTCCCGGCGCCGAATATATGAAAATTATACAGCTCCGGGTGAGTTGTAACCAATCGGTGAGGCGGAGAGCAGCTGCATGGCGACGAAAAGCGCGATCGTACGCGATCCACGCCGAGCCAAGATGCTTCTGAGCGGAACGCAAAATAAGTAGCTGGTAGCGAAGCAAATCCGGGGAGCGAGACGGCCAAAAATTCGTCATCACGAGGATATAAACAGAAAAGGCTGGGAGCCAAGTCATAATATCTGTAATTTCCTTAGGGCGCTTTGACGGTCGCAAAACTAGTTCGTTATCCCCGATGGTAAACGAAGGAGCGTCATGAACTGAAGTTTCTTCGATAAGAGAGGCCAACTCGACCAACTTGCCGTTGAAAATTGATGCCATAAGCTTGGGGATACCGGAGGAAACCAGGCCCGACACGAAGGGAGAAAAAGCCGATACGGTAAGCGTAGAAAGCGAGGGGGCGAGGCAATACCACCAGAGGCTAAAAAACACCCGGCGAAACAAACCCCATCCCGGGGCCCGGGGACGTAGACGAAGAAAACAAATATGGCGTACCTGAAGGGACAGGATTTTGAATCCGATACAACGGCTGCTGCAGCGTCTGTTGAGGCGGTTGCCAATGTCCAGCTACGGCACGATCTTGTTGTTGGGTAACCGTAGGCGTCGCCGATTGAAGTAACACGGGTTGTGGTGGCTGCTGAGCGAAAAATGGTGTCAAACTTGGATGACTCGATGGCCAAGTAGAAGCAACACTGACGATTTGTTGATTTGCAATAGCCGGCGATGGAACACGAGTTGGGAATAACGGTGAAGCAATATGCTGGTGTAAACTTGGCTGAAATTGCCGAGATGGCGACGAGCGAACGGCAAGGGGAGCCGTAGCGATCAACTGCGATGCCACTGTTGAAGTTGTAACAGCAGACACGACTGGTGAGCTAGTTGGCGTTAAACTCAAAGCAACTCCTTGAAGAGACATATTTTCCTGAGCCATTATAGCGAAATAATTTTGTTGGACAAGGTTGTGACGGCATCGATTCACGCAAGCAACTAACAACTCGATCAGGCAAACTGGGCTCATATTTGTACTCACCGGAGGGGGCAAGTAGCCGACCGGACAAGCGTCCTAGGACCCGTGACACTACGATACGAAGACCCGTATAACATTAACTTCCTTTATTATTCAATAATAAATACATTTACTTCGACTTCAGATTAATTAACTTATGCGAATAATATTTTGTTGTCTTTCCTCAAAAAGTTAATTTACTCCTGTCTGCTCCAAGGAACTTTTATACGATGTTTGATAACCAACGTTTTTGGATGTGCTCCAAGGCGTTGTTTAAGTAGGCAGGAAGGGTGTAATTTGAAAACTAATTCACACGCGTAGAGGAGGACTGATCGAATACACGCGGTATAAACCTGATCGAGTCATTCGAAAACACTTTTGCACGCTTCAAATGTGATAAAAAGTAAATCTCTTGGACGCTTATTAATAGTGCTTTCGATATGGGTATTCCATTTCAAGTCTTGTTGTAATGTCACTCCTAGGAGCTTGGGAGAAGTGACTAATTCAATGAGGTTTGTGCTTATATGCAAGTCCTCAAAAGGGGTAGTGGTTTTTGGAAAGGAAATAGTTAATTCTTTGCATCTTTTAACATTTAGCTGGAATTTGTTACTTTGTGACCACTCTGCTACTTCATCTACTAACAACTCTTTTGAATAATCTCGTAACTAGTAGTGTCGTTTATATATTTGATCACTTCGTTTGATGACTTAATCTTGCAGTTCGCGATCATAACTATAAATAACCAGGGATCCAGTTTGGTTCCTTTGGGAACATCTACTGCTACCGATTTCCATTCCGAGAAACAATCGTTGGCTACATTAACCCTTTGTTATCTATTGCTCAAAAATTCGCAGATCCAGTTCACAATATGGGGATTGATTCAATAATTTGATAGTTTGGATATTAAGATATTATTTATGGTCTATTAAGTCAAAGGCTTTCCTGAAAACAAGGAAAAAGACTCGTACTTTAGCTTAATTGTCGTCGGTGGCTTTAGTCCAGCTGTGAACAAGATTTATAAGAGCGTGAGTGGTAGAGGAATCAGGGATACAACGATACAGGTCTTGTCTAATCAGATTGAACCGGAATAGCAGGCTTTACATGTTCTCTGACCACATACTCCTTGGAAATTTTGCTAACGGTGAGGTGTCAATGATATAGTTCTTAGGTCTTTGTTAATGTCTTCCAAAGTTTGGTTTTTAGGTATAGCTGTAACATTTTCACTTTTCCATACCTCGGAAGGCTTTTCTCAGTAAGTGATGAGTTGATTAACATACATACTTGTTCTGCCAAAATATGTGCGAATTCCTTAAGAATCCAATTTCGTATATTATCAGGCGCACATGCTTTTGATATACAGGGTGTATCAGAAAAAACTAGAAGATTTTAAAATGTTCAGAAAACTATCATTTTATCAAAATATCTCAAAAATATATTTACGTCTAAGTATTTTAGCATCTTCTGGCTTATCTAAGAGTAAAAACTAGCAGAAAAATTAACCTCGAAAAGCGGGAGAACGGTTTGTAAAAGCCTCATTTTTAACCGCTTGTGCAAAGAAAATGAGACGTTGAAAATCCAAGTTCAGTTAAAGAGGTGAAAGTTTGGAATCTTTTGTGCAATGTATCGCAATTTCAAAAAATTTGATAAAAATTAGGTCCGCCGCGAAACGTTTCAAAATTGGATTTTTTCCCCGTTTACTCCGCTCTCTCGTAACTTTTTACACGCAAGAATGATTACATGCATGAGTGATAGTTAGAATGACGTACTTAAACATAAATAACAATGAATACTCTTGTTTTATTGTTTTCATTTAACAAAGAGTGCTCGCAATTACGTCATTCCAACTATCACTCATGCATGTAATCATTCTTGCGTGTAAAAAGTTACGAGAGAGCGGAGTAAACGGGGAAAAAAATCCAATTTTGAAACGTTTCGCGGCGGACCTAATGTTTATCAAATTTTTTGAAATTGCGATACATTGCACAAAAGATTCCAAACTTTCACCTCTTTAACTGAACTTGGATTTTCAACGTCTCATTTTCTTTGCACAAGCGGTTAAAAATGAGGCTTTTACAAACCGTTCTCCCGCTTTTCGAGGTTAATTTTTCTGCTAGTTTTTACTCTTAGATAAGCCAGAAGATGCTAAAATACTTAGACGTAAATATATTTTTGAGATATCTTGATAAAATGATAGTTTTCTGAACATTTTAAAATCTTCTAGTTTTTTCTGATACACCCTGTATTTACTGTACTAAGTTGTTTTTCTACAACATGAAAGGAGATTACAGGCTGGTCGACATTTATGGCATCAAGTCTTTTATATGGGAACAGGGGTATATAAGTTTCTTGGGGTTCGATAAACGCATTGTTAATTTTATTTGCTAGGTTTTGTTTTGTTGCCTTTGAAGGGAAATATCCGGAAGTGGCGGGAAGCAGTTTCGACACAATCATCCACGATTTCTCTTGTTATCTAGCTACGAAATTAGATCGTTTTTATCAGTATTTACTGAAACAGATGTTAATATTGAAACCGAAGTCCTCACAATGTCATTCAGTTAACTTTGGTCAGACAAGACGAGATTGTTCTTTAGACACCGCGTAACGGGGACTTGGAAAGCTATAGAAAATTTCGTAATTAAAGATTCGGATAAATTACAAGGGTAACAGGATTATATGACATTCTCCTGAAGCAATGGTGAAATTATTAACTACAAAATATTTTAACAAAAATGAACAGGATGCTACTTTATACACCTTTCCACCGTCAGTTATGTGCTGGGAATGGGTTTATGTCCAAAACCTCTTTAAAACCTCTTTTGACCTTCACAGCTGGTTGTTCAAACGCAGGCTATCCCTCAGCTAAAATGGCTTATAAATTTTATCCCGTGAGGTTATGATTTATTGCGTTGTTCAAAACGGATTAGCGTACCAACTCACGGGCTAAATTTAACCCACCTGGTTCACCAGGTGTGTAAGCTTGCTAATCTGCCGGCTAACACTGGTTAAACTAATCTTGGTTTAAATTTTAAAGATTTTAACAGGTTTCGCTGACTAACTCTGGGACAAGGCTCCTCAGTTGTAGAAATATCAGACACGCAAATTTAATCATGCATCTCCTCTCTTCTTCATCATTAAACGATGATTAACATATTTTTCAAATCCGGGTTGATGAGCTTTGCAAGACGAATGCTATTGGTACGTTTCGCTAAAATACAATAGATACGTGACGAGAAAGGAATAATTTTTTGCTTAAACCTTGACAATAACATAGTTAATGACTTGTATTGTACTTTTATTTAGTCTCCAAACTGTCTATATTCTATTAACTGCGGGTTAGGCTAATGGTAGGAAAAGAATCTCTATTGTAAATATTTTGAAAAACTAACATGATACGTATTAGTGCACTACACTTTTTGTAAAGTAAACCTTATGTCTATTTAGTTCTTTATTTTTCAACAACTTTACTTCTTCTTTCCAAATTCACGTGGTCGTATCTTCATTGATGTTGATTTCAGAGAATAATAATGATCTTTCCAATGTCTCCAGTTGACTCCATCACCGTCCGATTTGTGATCGCCATAATGATACAAACCATTCAAATTTGAATCATGACAAGCACGATACCACCAGGCTCCTTTGAATGACACGGCACAGTTAGCCCTGCCAATATCATTGTCAGAATCTTTGGTGCTGAAAGCCATACCGTCATGTTTTTTCAACGAGTCTCCTGCTGTACCTTAATTAATGCAAAAAAAAACCCAAAAATGGTTATAAAATGAATAGCAGGGCAATAATTAATGCTCGTAATCGAATGTCCTGAGCATTTTGTTTTGTTAAAAGTTTTGGAAATTCTCAAAATGGAGATATTTTACATTTCTCGAGTTAACTCAAAAACTGCCTCGTTTCAATTATATTTATGGATCACTCATTGATAATATTCCTATAATTTATTCAATATTTAATATGCAGGATTTAATGGTTGACTGCACAGTTTATTGTATAGAGAGCTGGACTATCGTGTATAATGATTACCATGATAACCTCCAACATTCAACTTGTACTTCTCATTTTCACTGCTGACTTTAAATGAATAATAATGAGCGAAACTGGTGTTTCCAGATGTATCTTCCATGTCGATACGAAGTTCATTTTGTGAAATATTTGTCATCCTGTGTATTTTGTCAAGACCAAGCCAATATTCTCCGCTCAAGTTACCAAAACCTTGTTTGTAATCTTGCCATCCTCGGTAGAAGTCAACACTTCCATCAAGACGACGTTGAAATACAGTCCATCCTCCACCTGATGTTGTCATATCACAAAACACTTTGAAACTTCCCTTTTCATCAGGATTAATTTCATAAATTCTACTTTTATTCTTTCCCTTTTCATACAAATCAGCGCAGTGAAGACCTGGAAAATACGGATTTATATCACAATTTAGTGGCCTGTGGCCAATAAAAGCAATAATAACGGGTTAAAAACCTCTTCAATTTTTTTTTCTTGGAAATGAAAATAAAATAGCTTTTAACGTTCCGTCCTTTCTCTGGGTTCAGCTTTCAGATTAAGGCAAAAAAGAAATTTCTGTGAGAGCATCAGAGAGAATTAGTACAATTGCCAAGTTTGACTTCGCAGGGGGGGTGTTTATACCAAAAATGCGCTTTTGGTTTTTTTAAACACAATGCGATATGCCTTATCCAAAATAAGATATTCCATGTTGACAATGCCTTAATATTCAGTATGCCATTTTTAGGCTGAAAATACCCCATATTTGGCTATAAGTGCTATTTTTTGCTCAACAAAATAACAGGCCATTGACACATTGACCAGTTCGTGTGTATCTTGATTGTGTTTTATTAAGATTATGTTTTGCAGTTTCCGTATTTTGTCATGTTTTAATTAATATTGTCCGTGCATCAGGCATGAACTTTAAATTTCCTACTATCCCAAATAAACCAGAACCTTTCCCAATGATGTAAAACGCAGAAAATTGTCTACATTCTAAACTTAAAATTGCTCAGGAAAAAAAACTAAAGCAACCAAACCATCCATGCATATACGCATTTTAGCCGCCCTGTTTATTAACTGACAAGTTCCTCTGGAAACTTGCCCCACAAAAAAAAATTGAAATTGAATTGGCGCATATTGACAGAAGATTCAAAACATTTCTCGTTCCATAATATTATAATAAATTGATTTAGTTCATAATAATATTCTCGTAGTTTTTGTTCCGAATGATATTCCAAATGTTCCAAAATTTAAAATTATGATCCATCGTAATTATCGCTACTCTGGTTTAATAAATGAAAGTAATCACCACACAAAGATTAACTTTACGACCCAACGTTTCGACACTCCGTTCTAGTGTCTTCATCACGGGTGATCTGATGTTGAAACTCAGTTCCTTATATACTCTCAAAATGACGTCATCTATTAATCAGATGTAAATATTTTTTTGGCAAATAGCTTCCGTCATCCCTATTTAGGGCACAAAGACTCGAATAGTTGCCTTAAAACCCTTTCAGACATTGGGACATATTTTCGCGAAACCCAAGGATCGCGTAGCGACTAAACAGAAAACTCATGCTGTATACTCTATACCATGTGGTGATTGCGAGAAAGAATATCTAGGTCAAACAAAACGCCAGTTCGGCACACGTTTAAAAGAACATCAAACGGCCGTTTCGAACCTAGACAGTTCAAAATCAGCCTTGGCGGAACACGTGTGTCAAACTAACCATAACATTGCGTGGAACGATTCAAAAGTCATTACCACTAATGATCGTTATGGCAAAGGCGTTGTTTGGAAGCCTGGCATATTAATGCGAGTCTTTGTGCCCTTAATAGGGATGACGGAAGCTATTTGCCAAAAGAATATTTCATCTGATTAATAGATGACGTCATTTTGAGAGTAATTTATAAGAACCGAGTTTCAACATCAGATCACCCCTGATGAAGACACTAGACCGGAGTGTCGAAACGTTGGGTCGTGAAAGTTAATCTTTGTGTGGTGATTACTTTCATTTACTAAAACCAGAGTAGCGATAATTACGATGGATTATATACCTGGTTGCCGTGAACTCATTAACTTCAATTAAAATTATGATATTTGTGATAATTCTAAAGCAAATTACCTGATTTCCTGGTACGATTTTCTTCTTCAACCGCCTTTCTTGCCTACACAAAATTTAACACAAAAATACAGCAGTTAATAAAAAAATGATTTTAATCTTTATACATTAATTAATATATTAGTATAAGTTATGGTTTCATATCGAGTGCATTACGGATTAACAAGCACGAGGGGTTTTTTTAAGGCTGCAAAATAGCGCGAGTCCGAAGGACGAGTGGTATTAATTGTCTTTAAAGACTCACGAATCCATGATTATCCTTAATTACACGAGAAATTATACTATTATATATTAATGATATTCAAGGAAATCTTCGAGACAATAAATTAAAGCGATGGTGTAAAAGCCTTTCATAGCCCAATATGACTTTGGAAAACGACGTATAAAGCTCACATACAAATGAACTGCATCCCTCTTCACAAAACAAGCACAGAAATATGAACAAGTACATAAATAGTTATACATATGAACAACTACATTAATAGCAAACACAGAAATATTATGAACAACTACATAATAATATAGAAACGTACCGATTTAAAACATTTCAAACCTTTACATTATAGAGCGTAAAACCTTTTTCGCTTTTTTTTTCTTGAAGAGCAACCCTTTTTCATAAATGTTACAAGATGATTTTCATTGCAACTGTTATTATTTTTTCCATTTGTTTGGTGAAATTTTTAAAAACGATTTTATAAAAAAATACCGATTTCTTACTCAGTTAATCAGAAAGCTGCTGATTAACGGTTTCCACTCATTTAAATTTTGCGCATGCGCAGACCTAACAAAACCATCCAACGCTAATGACTTTTTTGATTCCGCTATATTCGGTCACAATATCCGGGGAATAAGAAAAAAAGAGATTTTATAAAGAGTTGACCTAAAATCACAGTTACAGAGAAAATATATTACTATAATTTAATAATAACAATATTTTCTTGTGTGATGAGAACAGAAAGCTGTGCGAAGAGCTCGAAATAGCTCTTCCTATGTCCACTGATATTTTCTCGCTCTCCCTAACTCCCAGGCGTGTTTCTATAACTGTATAGAAACACGGAAAATGTTTTCTATATTTTCTTAAACACCATTTAATTTATCAATCTTACTGCTTCAACATTTCGCATCAATATCCAATCTCCGGTTAGTTTCGTTTCTTCTTGCTTTCTAGTAACGTTGGTCAGTTGGCAATTTTCGACATTTTTTGTTGTTCTGTAGTTGAATCCAACACATTTGTCTTCGTCTTTGCAGTGAGTGTGACATCCTAACATGACATCTGACGATGTAACATTGTGTCTTGATATTATTTCATCCGCAGGCAATGATGGACCTCCTAAAAATTTCAACAAAATTCTTGAAAGACAAATATTTTAATGTCCAAATTTTAACTAAAACTATGTGTTTTATTCTGGACTGATTTCACCATATGAAACATTTAAATGGTGTTTCAATGGTTAATTTTTCCTCTCACTTTTTTCGACAATACTCACCTCTGATGATTATGTCGTAATTCGTCGGGGAACACTGGTTTGCTGAAATGTTTCCAATAGCAAGCAACAGCAAGCTCAAGCAGGCCGATACAAACATCGTTTAAATCGTCTTTTGTCTGACTCTGTAATTCTGGAAGATATTTTTCATACGAGTTATGACCAAGAAAAGACCAATATAAAATAATCGTGACATATGATGTTGCCTGTGCTTCGTGAAAATTTGGAAATTCAATTAAGTTGCTATATAAAACCACGTAAACAACATACACGCGCTTCAATGAGATGCATTATAGCCTTTGACAGTTATGACAAAAGACAAAGATTGCATGTGTTAGCTTCAACACTTTATTTTAAACGTTTCCTTACGGTATACGGTAATAAAAAATAATTTCATTTTTTTCACTTGTTTCAAAAAATTCTGTATCAACCTTCATAAATATTTTAAAGTTTTACACTGACATGTTTTATGGCGAAGCTAGATCGAGATGTGTGTTAATGTTATTAGGGACCTTAAGCATGTAGAACGCGAATGCGACGACGACGGCTATCAATACAATGGGTCATTGAAAAGAAATGAATATTTAAAGACCCATGATGGGTTTTAGAAGTCATAACACACATATTTAACCGGCGCTGCAATAGCCAGATATTTTGCGAATGTCAGTTTAGCCAAGATGGAGATTAATTGTGCGACATGATTGAGCCAAACTCGTGACTGACGATCATTCTCGTGAGCACGAAGTTTGCATGCTTAATTGATACAATTTGTTTATTTTTCCGTAATGGCGCTAGCGAACTTTGGGCCCTTATTTCACAAACTAAATTTTTAAACGACGTGATCATGAAATAATCTAAAACTATGAAGAATATTCAATGCGTCATTTAAAATAGCTTCAGTTTTTTAAGGGCTTGGGGGAAAGCGCTTCTGATTGTCACGTTCAAGCCCATAGATTCAGCTCTAAGTCATTGTAATCATAGATCAGTCGAATCGTAATATACTGTTCAACTAGCGTGTGCGTGCGGTTGGTCAGGTTGATGTCTTAGAGGCTAGCTATACTTTCTTAGCATGTAGCGTGTTTACACGGTAGTCCTAATTGGGAGAATATAGACACCGATTTAACGGCCATTTAATAAAGAATTTTGTGATGAGAGAATGACCACAATGAATTACATCCAATAAGATCGAATGCTTCCCCCAAACCCCTTATCCCACAAAAAAAATTAAGCGTATGTATGTGTATTGTTTTGCGCAGAAAACCTGCTTGCTAGTAACCCTTCGATCATTATAAAGGCATCTATAACTTATATACTCCCAAATTAACACAAAATTTTGGTCACATTTTGCAGAAAAAAGTGAGTGGGAATAAATTTTAACGTTAAAAATGACTTACCACAACTCTAGTTATAAGATATATTGGAAATTATTTCAGGACTTTGAACAGTTGGTTTGCCTAGAACAGCAGCAAAATACTGATATGCATGCGAGCAAATAAATTGTTCTTATTCTTATTATAAACACTTACAAGCAAATAAATTATTTAAGTGCAAGCTGCATAATAAGCATCAACGTCTCTTATTTGACAGTTTATGAATAGTCGTATAGCGCCGAGCATTAAATATAATGTGGTTAGGGAGAATGTTGTCTCTAAAGCAAAGTTCTCAAACGGAGAGTTCTTACGGTTTATAAATCAACGAGGATACGTTCTATTATACTAAAATGCATATCTATCGAAACAATGGCAATGGAAGTAAATTTTAATGTTTAAAATGACTTACCACAACTGTGATCAAGATAGATTGGAAATTATTTGAGGAATTTATTTGAAACAGCTTGTTTGGGTAAAAATCGGAGGAACAGTAGCTAATATAGCTACATACATGTTAAAAAAGCAAATAAATTATTTAAGTGCAAGCTGCATATTGAATATTGACGACCTCCATCATAGGCTAATGCGGGTACCAATTGCCATTTTATGTATATAATTATCCTAAGGCTAGCAACTCTCTCGGCGCAAAAAATATAATGCATACTGAATAGTACCATCGCTTGAAACACAAAAATTACGCTAGTTTCTTGAAAAAAAACTAGATACAAAATACCTTGGACATATTTACTAAATTTAAATTTCATATTTAGACTTGAAAACAATTTAAAAATGCTTAAATTTTGCAAATAAAAAGTGTATTTTTATCGACATTTGGTTAAACAGAGGCGGGATGCAATTTACTCGACAAACGTCATCATCGGAAAATCGTACGCAAATTTCTGATTCGCTGTTGAAAGCTCGGAAAATTACGAAGTTATTTTTCCGTCATCGAGTTGGCCTTGTCGAGTAAATTGCATCCCTTCTCTGTTTAAAAAAATTTCGATAAAAATACACTTTTTATTTGCAAAATTTAAGCATTTTTATGTTGTTTTCAAGTCTAAAAATGAGAGACAAATTTAGTAAATATATCCAAGGTGTTTTGTATCTAGTTTTTTCTCAAGAAACTAGCGTAATTTTTGTGTTTCAAGCGATGGTATTAATGTATGCATCAGTTGTATTTTTTGTGAGAGAGTTGCCAGCCTTAAAATAATTATATACATACCAACTTTGTGTACAAATGTACATGTCATAGAAAAAATTGCTCGTCTGTAAGAACCTTAAACATATTGAAATTAAACCTAAATAAATGAATTCAACTGAATATTTTATATCAACATGACCGTCGTTTCTCAGTGGCGTAGCCAGCCTGACGATTTAATCATGCGATGCAAATTTTATGTTATTATCATTATTTAATTCTTTAGAAATTCACTGTTTCACAGTCAATGAACACGAAAATATTAGCGTGGCATGACTAAATTGTCAGGCTGGCTACGGCATTGTCGTTTCTTTCAGCACGAAGATTCGTTCGCCCGTGCATTTCACAAAACACTCTCTGAATCATGTCTGGCTGCCGTTCAGTTTAAATTATGCTGGAGTCGTTGAGTTCCATGCAAATTTCTACAGTTTTGTTTAGATTAATTATTCAATTCAGGCAACTTTTGTCAAATTACAGCCGTTATGCGGCAAATTTAAATATGAAAGGTTCAGTGTTTTTACTCAGTGACACCATGTAATGGTTGCATGTAGATCATGACCGATCAGACGATCAGAGACAGTGTTTTGCAGCCGACCCGCGAAGACAGTTCTTTGTAAGAGAATTCAAGCAACTCATGCTATATCTATGAGACTATAAAAACATGTCATCGAGAGGTTTTGTAATCACTGTTGATTTTGGCAATAATATTATACCCTTGTGCTCGACGAATTGAGAAATGTACTGTGCGATAAGGTAAATAATTATCCAATGTACTTTAGTGTTAATTAAACTATACTCCGATAATACTATAAGCTTATAGAGACTATTGTGCGATGGTAAAACCGACACGGCTGTCTATATTTCACTGCAAGGGCATGAGCTTCGATGCTGCCGTTTTTACCATTAAATATTTGCGTTGTCCCTTACGTTGTCGGGTGAAATTAATGCTCATATTTTCCAATTTGAAACCTGTTCATATTCTCGTTTATAGTATTGTTTAATGGTATTATGCGGGATTTTCCTGTATTTCATCTAAGAAACCAATACCTTAAGCAAGTTCATAGGAGTTGAAATCCTTGACAGCATTGTATATATATTGTCAGCTAGCGTACGTAATACAGGGTGAATAAAAAAATGACACCTTTGAAATTCAAATTAGCCGCATAGCGGCTGTAATGTGACAGAAGTTGCCTAAAATATCTCATGGGTGTACGAAGCATATCAAATCATTAACAATTAGTTATAATACTTAACCTAAAACATAAAGTTTGTTGTGTAAACAGTTTCATCAAATCGTTTTTCTAGCACAAGCGCCACGTTGGATTATTTCAATTGGTTTAAACACTTTCTTAACCACGTCTTGTTGATTGTATACATGGGAATTGTCAAATCCCAGCCATAAGTTTGGGACTAATTCAAAGGTGTCAGTTTTTTTACTCACCCTGTATATCAATAATTTACAGTGTTTATTTGTTATTGCTATGGACTGTACATACTTCGCATTTTTGGGTAGCGTCGATTGCAATTCAAACAATAGATAATGAGATGATAATGAAGCTTAATGAGGTTTATCATCTCATTATCCATTGTTTGAATTGCGTTCGACGCGACCAAAATGCGACGTATGAAGTCAGCCTAAAGGCCTGTGGACATGGAGCGAGTTATCTCGGCTAGGCGAGGTAAAAGGCGCATCACATCAATGGCTTAACCTGTTTAGTTTTTCATTATAATAATGCAGTTTCACCTCGCCTGGCCGGGATGACTGGCTCAATGTAAACAGGCCCTAATTTAGGCCTGTTTCACACGTCAACTTTTCATGTGCTGAATAGAATGCAAATGAACTTAAACAAATACTTCAGCTCAAGAACATTAGGGTTCGGCACATGAAAAGTTTGAAGTCTGAAACTAGCCTAACTTTAAAATTTCCCAATAATTGCACATTATTATACTCATGCAGAGAGTGACCCGGACCTTTATTATCATGGTAATATAAATGCTTACAGAGAGGTAGTCCGTTGAATTGCATCTCGGGGAATCTGATGAATAATGTGCTGATAAATAAATTTGAGATTTAACTGAAGGCATGTAATTTCCAATGCCCCAAAATAATTCAAATTTTAACGTATAGGTGATCTTAACATCGACTAAAGCCTAGCGCACACTGGTGCACTTAACACGCACACGCACACACGTCACTCGTGACGATTGTCACCTGCACATATTCCTCGTCTGCGGGGACCAAATTGAGATATTCTGTCATTCGTGTCGTAATATCCAATTATCAAACATGTTTGATATTTTCTATCACGCGTGACAAATGCGCCAAGTGTGCGCTGAACAAATGCGATTAAAACATGCAGCAAGGAATATGTAAATGCAAATATACAGGGTGTCCCAAAACAAGTACGATCGTACTATAGGGACCAGGAACTGCGTAACCGAGTTTAATTTCTGAACTGCATTGTATTTATAACAATGGAGAGGACAATGTATTTCTAATCGTTTCCGTTTACTTATATACTGTATAGGCTGAATATTAATGATATGTATATATTATTTGCTGCAAATATATCAAGAATTGCTTGTAACTTGCTTCAAAGGTCAAAAGTAAAAATTCGAACTCCGTCAATCGATGCGGAATTATGCTTAAAATAATTGTGCCAAGTTTCATTCCGATCAAACAAGTAATGAAAGAGCCTTAGGGTTTTTTTTAAAGATCGTCGCCCCCTAACAACAACAACAACAAGATTAGCAGCGGTTAGGGACCAGTTCCTGGTCCAAAAATGTCCCCTCTATTGAAATCAAGCCTTTGTTCGAATCTGATTGCCTTAATATTATGATAAACCCAATTGAAAGTAAGACGCTTTATTTGAATGCCTCAACCTAATAAATATGCTATTTACACACTACTGCGTTGATCATGCATTCAAATTCCAACAAAAGCTTCATTTCAATAGCGGGGACTTTTTTTGGGACACCCTGTACAATAAACAAACTAAACATGGAGTATGAAAGTGACGATTATTTGTCTGAAGACGAAGAAATTTTGCTCTTCCTTTTCCTTTTGGTTATGCGTCGGCGCCGGAGACGCCTAAGGGTAGCCAATCGTAAATATGGACGAAACGACGGATGGACGAAACGCTTTTTCTCGTAGATCTCTGTTTTTGAAATCTCGCGAGCGTACATTGTAAATACACGGATATTCGGGATATATGTCTACCAGTTTGTCTTCTAAAATGGCTTCAGCAACCAGTTTACTGCGTTGTTCCTCTATACTTTTAAGGTTATTTATTGTATTTCACATTTACATATTCCTTGCTGCGTGTTTTAATCGCATTTGTTCAGCGCACACTTGGAGCATTTGTCACGCGTGTTAGAAAATATTAAACATGTTTGATAATTGGATATTACGACACGAATGACAGAATATCTCAATTTGGTCCCCGCAGATGAGGAATATGTGCAGGTGACAATCGTCACGAGTGACGTGTGTGCGTGTTAAGTGCACCAGTGTGCGCTAGGCTTAAGGCTATAAATTTCTATGAGAATGTGAGCAAGCAGTGCAACAACGGATGCTGGTATATTTGTTATTCACAAAGGTTTCTTTAAGTTGTTTTATAAATGTTTTGCAATAAAGAATTTGGAAAACAATAAGGAAAATTATCAAGCAGCATTTATTTAAATATACACGGATACTGGATACAGTTCGTGAATGAGTGGTAACATAGGAACAATTTATGATCTATTTATAAGATTAAAACAAGCTAAAGCTGTGAGAGTTCATAAAACGCCCGCTCAATACAGCATAAAAACAAATTATGTTTACTTCGTTTTTTAATATAGCGAATATCAAGTAGCTTAAGCTCTATCGTAACTGTCATATAATTATTCTGCTGTCACACAATTTATGTTATTGCAGTGCTGGCGATGTGTTGTTTTTTATATCAGTTATCAGGATAGTGTACGTGGTATAGAATTATTATATAAAATAGCGCATTTTTTCGGTAATCATGACAAAAACTTTAGTTTAAAGTTAACAAAACTCGCATAAGTACTTATGGTTTTATTCAGAAGCTAATTTTCTAGCTGTCTTGCAAAACTCATTCTATTTGCCCGGCGTCACTTGTTTTCCAACGCGAAGATGTATATTATGTGCAGTATACAACGTCTCATGCAACAATAGCTCTGAAAAAGACTACATTATGTTTTATGCATGTTTCTTTATTACGATGTCAAAACATAAAATTAATCGCGTTGTAACTAACACGTAATGCATTTTAAATATAAGCGGAAATTGCAAAACACGTCTAATCGTACGTCTATATTCAGACGGTCTTCGCAAAACCATTTAATTTTCGCTGA